TAGATAGATAGATGATAGATAGATAGATAGATAGATAGATAGATAGATAGATAGATATGAGAGAGAGAGAGAGTGATAGAATAGAGATAGACATAGATAGATAGATAGATAGATAGATAGATAGATAGATAGATAGATAGATAGATAGATAGATATGATAGAGATAGAATAGAGATAGAGATGATAGATAGATAGATGATAGATAGATAGACAGAGAGAGAGACAGAATAGAGAGAAATAGAATAGAGAGAGTGATAGAATAGAGATAGATAGATAGATAGATGATAGATAGATAGATAGATAGATAGAATAGAGAGAGATAGAGAAAGTGATAAGATAGAGATAGATAGAGATGATAGATAGATAGATAGATAGATGAGAGAGAGAATAGAGAGAGAAATAGAATAGAGATAGAGATAGATAGAAGATGGATATAGATGATAGATAGAGAGAATAGAGAGTAATAGAATAGAGATATAGATAGATATAGATGATAGATAGAATAGAGAGAGATAGAAGAGAGATAGAAGAGAGATAGAAATAAATGATAGATATAGATGATAGATAGATATAGAAGAGAGAGAGTGATAGAATAGATAGAGATAGATGATAGATATAAATGATAGATATAGAGAGATAGAATAGAGAGTGATAGAATAGAGATGGATGGATATAGATGATAGAGATAGAATAGAGAGAGTGATAGTGATAGATTAAAGATAGATAGATAGATATAGATAATAGATAGATATAGATAAAGAGAGAAGAGAGAGCGAAAGAGGGCTAGAATAGATAAAGATAGATGATCGAGATAGAATAGAGAGAGTGAGAATAGATAGATAGATATGATAGCTATAGATGAGAGAGAGAGAGAGAGAGAGATCTTCTCTCCTTAAGTAGCCTCTGAATTGTTTTTACTTTTTCTTCTTTCTCCCTTCTAGGATGGAGGATCAATTTGCCGCTTTGCACGAGAACCCCGACATGTAAGTGTGGATTCTCAGTCAGGTGTCTGATGCAGGACTGAACGTAGGCAAGGGTAGTTAAAAAAAAACCTGATGTCTCTGCAAACGGAGACGACGCTTCCCAGTGAGGGAGCGCCCAGACTTAGCACAGTATAATCACAGGGCTGGGAAGGACCCCGGAGGTCTTCTAGTCCAACCCCCTGCTCAGGCAGGAGACCGTCTACCCTTCCAGACCAATGGCTGTCCAATCTTTTTCTTTAAAAAAAAAAAACTCCGGTGATGGAGCTCCCACAACCTCTGGAGGGAAGCCATTCCACTGGTTAAGTGGAATCATTACATAAGTAAATGAATTGGAGAGTGTGTGTGTTTGTCTCCATACATCTCACTTCTCCCTCAACCACGCGACAGAGAGAATGGGACCTTGAATGTGTGCCCTTGTGCTTTATGTGCAGCATCATTGCAACCCCCGGCCGTTTGATGCACGTAGCTGTCGAGATGAAACTGAAGTTGCACAGTGTGGAGTACGTGGTTTTCGACGAAGCAGACAGGTGAGACGTTCTCCCCTGGTTATTCTTCCCAACCCTCTCCGTTAGAGGACTCTTGGGTTTCTCCATCTTTGGGGAGGAGCTCCCCAAACACAACCTCATGCATTGGCATCCTTCCGTCTCAAAAGACTAGGGCAGGGGGTCAGCAAATCGGCTCCGGAGCCGCATGTGGCTCTTTCATCCTTCTGCTGCGGCTCCCTGTCGCCAGTCGGCGCCACAATTTTAGGAGGAGTTTCCAGTTGGGGCGGGGAAGCACAGTGCGCCAGGAGAAGACTCTCGTGTGAGGGGCGGGTTTTCCGCTCCACTCCAACATTGATAGAGCTTTTGGTTAGGGAAGGTAGAGGAAAAAGGACGCCGTGCTAGGAGGAGACTCTACGGTGGGGGAACTGGGCTTCCGGTCGGCTCCAGAATTGAACAGGGGGCTTCCTGTTGGGACCTTTGTGGCTCTTTGAGGGTTTATGGTTGCCGACCCCTGGACTAAGGTATCGTCCAAAACGAGGACAAAATAATAAGGAAGTTTCTGGAACTGTCCTAGATGGACAAGTTAACAAAAGAAATTCGGGGAAAAGACGAGAGAGAATATTATCAGACATGGGAAAAATGATACAGGCGGTTGGAAGAAAGGAAACAAAGATCAATGATAGAATCTAATAAAGTTAAAAACTAGAAGTTAAGGAGGATTACATATATATATATATGTAATTTTGTGTCAAAACCCCTGGTATGCCCAAATATGGGAGGAAGCATACTGCTTTCCTTTCTCTGTCTATCAGCTCATCTCAAGAGACCATCCAGACAGAAAGCCATTATTTTTACTGTTGCCTTTTTGTTACATTTGTGCTGATAAATAAATAAAGGGAGACTAGTATAGA